GCGGCCTTCGTGGTAGCCGGGAAGTCGAACTGGGCCTCGGCCGGGTTCCGCAGTTGCATCATGACCGTGGGCTCTGCAGCGCACCGTGACATTCTCCCCCACTTAGGCCCGAAGCTCCGTCTCGGGCTCCAGCCAGTCCACGGGGCGAATGCTCGAGGCAACAGGTCAACCAATCCTGGGCGTTGTGGTACGTCTTGATTGATGGTGAGCCTTGTCGCTCACGATCCAGGGGTTGGCTTGGATTTTCGACAACCAGGGCCACGACAGTAGATGGTTCTGGACCCTAGGCAGTCTTCTGCACACTATCACACCAGCCATGTCGTCGCCAGTCCCGAGTCCAGCGCTGGGGTTGTCGGACGGCACGACCATTCTTTAACTTCGTAATGCATTCTTTCTGTCTTGGGTTTCTTCAATTGTCGGTCTTGAATATACAAACATGCAGTCGTCCTGGTGGCTTCCATTGGCGTCCAGGGCGGTGGAGGGAGTCCGTTAGAACTCCCTGACCACAGCCTCCTCGTCTAGAGCAGACAGGCGAGGGCTGCGGTGTAAGGTCGGCAGACCAGCACGCTCCCGGACAGTTCTCGTAGTCGGTGATGAACGAACCGTAGTCGGCCAGTCGTGAGGGCCGTACCCATTGCTGAGAGCAGTCGGCGTACTCGACTAGGTAGTCTTTCTCCGAGGCGACACCTTGGCGCTTGTCCAGGACGCGCGAAACAGGCGAGCTTGAGTTGCTGAACGCGACGTCACCGTCCTGCAGCTCGACTCTGGAGACAAAGCTGTCGCTCGGGGGCAAGTCGTCGGTCAGGATCGTGTCGTCAGTCTCGGAAGTTCGTTCCTGCGAGTCATCCTGGCCGACGGGATCTCTTCGTTGAACGGCGGGGTCCAGTAGCCCTTGAAGGCCTTCAGACGGTCAACGTTGATGGGCATCACACGGTCGGGGTGGGTGAGCAGGTAAATCCGGAACGTGTTGTCGCCTTGCCTGGAGTGGATCCTGTAAGTACCGTGAAAGTGGTAAGCCAGCTTTTTGATACGCTCGTCGTCCGGTCTTGCTGACTTGTGGAAATGCCGGTAGACCCAAACTGGGTCGGCCGGCTGGAGGTCGAGCTTGCGACGGTCTTTAGCAGCCTAGTCACGGTTCTGGCCCTTCAAGAGTTGGGCCTCGACGAGCTTCCTGGTGGCCGTGAACCACGCACTTTGCTTTCTTCGCCATTTTGGTAGCTCGTCGGTCTTCCAGAGGGACTCCTGGTTGACGAAAGCCAGGTGCAGGGGCTGAACCGGGTCCCGTCCGCGAACAGACAGAAGTAGGGTGAGTCGCCCAGAGTCTCCTGGTGAGCCGTCCTGTAGGCCCAGAGGAGCCGAGGCAAGTAGGTATCCCAGTCCGTCTGCGCCGCGTTCACATACATACGCAGCGTCGTAGCCAGCGTAGAGTTGAACCTTTCCACTAGGCCCTGGCCCTGCGGGTGTCCAGGGGCGCTGGCTATCTTGTCGATCCCGACTGTCCGCTACAGGGTCTCAGCCAACTTGGAGACGAAATTGGACCCACGGTCGGACAATAGCTTGTCGGGGACTCCGTACCGACACAGGACCTCGTCCACCAGGACTGTCAGGAAGGTGTAGATCTTCAGGTCGGGGACAGCGAATGCTTCTGCCCAGCGTGTGAAGTAATCCATGAACACCAGGATGAATTTGTTCCCTCCTGGCGTTGTCGGTAGGGGTCCCTTGGTGGCCCCGCAGTGCAGACATTGCTGGCAGTATCGCGCCACATCCTCCCGCCACTGGTGCCAGTAGCCGATAGTCCTTTCTCGACCAAAATGGCCGGACAGGAGCGAGTTGTGACAAAGGTACAACACGTCGGTCGCCAAGGAGACAGGGATGACGGGCACCATGTTGACCTGGGGGTTCCTGAGAGGGGTCTTTAAGAAGATTCTTCGGTAGAGGACTCCTTCACGTAAGGCGTACAGTAGTGCTCATGGGTCCGGCTCACCAGACGCATCAACCATGCGTCCAGAGGCAGGGCTTTGTACTCGAGGTACGCCTTCATAGCCACTACGAACGGATCCTTGGGCTGCTCTGCACGGAGTACGCGATCTGGGAGCACGTAGGTGTCGTCCTCGTATGGCGGCAAGTTAAGCGCGGGCTCAGGTAGGGCCGCCGTGCCCTCCTGGACCTTGATCGTTGACCCTGGCGTCTCGGCACGCGTCCTGGGAGTCTTCCTGGACGACTCTCTGTCGTCCTGCCGGGTAGTTCTTGGTCCTTGGGCACCCCAGGACGATCAGTCCTCATTCTGGCTTGCTCTTCCCTGCTCATGGTGACGGCACCGACCATTCCTCGTGAGATCGAACAGACCCTAAGCCGCTCTTCTGGATGGGCTGGGGTATGAATTCTTCCCGTTCGGCGTCCCATCGGCTCGCTAGGTTCGGTCCTGGCGGCTCGTCGGTGTCGGCAGGGAGGCGTGATAGCCCGTCGGCGCAACCCATTTGGGCTCCTGAACGGTGCATGACCGTGAAGTCGAGGCTCTGGAGGTAAACCGCCTACCTGGCGAGCTTTCCATTGCCCGACTTTGATCCAGTCTTGTACAGCCACACCAGGGCCGCGTGGTCGGTGTACACCGTGAAGTGTCTACTATCGATTTAGGGTCGGAACTTGGTCGTTGCCCACACAAGTCCGTAGCATTCGATCTCCGACGTCCCGTCCTTCTTGGCGATCCACTTGCGCTGGGACGCATCGAGTGCCTGGCTGGCGTACGCTATCACCCGTTGCCGGCCATCCTGTTCTTGCGTTAGGACGGCTCCCAGCGCGATCGGGCAAGCGTCCACAAAGATCGTGAACGGGACGTCGAAGTCCGGGTGCCAGGATGGGAGGGCTCGCGAGTTTCCTCTTGAGCGTGTCCAAGGCGCTCTGGCATTCCGGTGTCCAATCGAAATATTCTTCGGTCTTCAGCCTTTCCAGGGGCTTGGAAATCAAGGCGTAACCTTTGATGAACCTTCTGAAGTACCCGGTCAGGCCTAGGAAGGATCGTACTTGTGCCACGTTATTGAGCGGCCGGATCCTTAGGACGGCCTTGACCTTCTCCGGGTTGAGCAGGATCCCTCCAAGAGTGATAATGTGTCCCAGGAAGGCCACTCTGTTCCTGCCCCACTGGCACTTGGACATCTTCAACTTGAAACCAGCATCCTGGAGGCAGGTCAGAACTTGTTGGATGCGGACCAGGTGCGAGCCGAAGTCTTTGCTGAAGATGATAACGTCATCCAGGTACACCAGGCAGGTTCGCCAGAGGTGATCTTGGAGGACCCCTTCCATCAGGCGTTCGAAATGGGGCACCGCATTGCACAGGCCGAACGGCATAACCAACCACTGTAAAGGCCGAGCTTGCACGTGAACGCGGTCTTCTCGATGCTGTCTTCCGCCATCCTGACGTTCCAGTACCCGGATGCTACGTCCATGGTCGAGAAGTATTTGGCTTTCCCGAGGAAATCCAGGAGGTCGTCAACCCTGTGCATCGGGTAACAGTCCTTGGCCGTGACGTCGTTCAACTTCCTGTAATCGATACAGAAGCGTATCGACCCGTCCGGCTTCCTGATCATTAGGACAGGACTGGCCCATGGACTTGTAGACTTCCTGATCAGCCCGAGATCCAGGTACTGTCGGATTTCGGCCTCCATGATCTCGCCTTCCTTCTGGGTCACCCGGAACGGCGCCGACTTGATTGGGCTTGCCCCGGCCGTGTTGATGTGGCACTCGATCAAGTCGGTCCGTCCTGGTGCCTTGGAGGTCTTGACGAAGAGGTCGAACTTCAGAAGGACCTTCCTGAGAAGTTCTTTTGCTGGAGCGTTAAACTGGAGTCCGTCCAGTCGATCTAAATTTCTTCCTTGGGGCCACTAATTTTCCTGTCAGGGTGCTTATTGTCCCGATCCAGGCTGCCTGGACGTCTAGATTGTCCCGTCGTCTTGTCGGTCACACCAACCGCAGCCAGGTGTTCGGTCGTCCTGTAAAGTCCTGTTGGTCGCCGCCCTGTTGTGCCGTCGGGCTCCTCCTCCCCCGTACTAGAGGTCGGCCTGCAGGTCGACGACGATCCAAATGGAGCCGACGGTGAAAACGGGGCGACTTCCAACTCCGAAGCGTACCTGGGTGGTAGTATGGACGCCAAACCAATCAGTGTGCCCGAAGGGATGGCCAAGACACAGTCGCTCGGGTTTTGCACTTGTGCCCAGACATAGCCTTCGCGTAGCACGTTGAGTGAACGAGCCACATGGACGTTGTCGACCATAGGGTGTCAATCGATCAGGATCGGGCTGCCATCCTGGACAGCTGCCTCGACACGGCAGCGTACCATAAACCTCGTCCGAGCCTTGAGACGTAAACCAGATGTTGTAAGTAATGGAGCCACCGAGGGTGATAGGTCATCCGTTGGCCCGGGGCGACAAGGGTCTGGCGGCTCGCCGGATCCTGGCGAGGTGTCGCGGCGCAGGTGGGGGTTGCGCACAAGTGGGGTGAGCCAGCTTCGTTCCTCAAGAAGGGAATGGTCTGGTTTGTGTTCCAGAGCCGTAGTGAGTTGCTTGTTGTGTCCACCAGGGCACCGAACCTGCGCAGGATGTTGATGTCTAGGATGCATGGGGTCACCGAGTTCTGCATGACCCACACCGGGAATGTCGCGTCCTGGTAGGCAAGCCGTACAGTCGCCGTCCACACACCAAGAACGGGCATGGGCGTGTTTTCAGCCGACACGTGTCCCGTGCGCGGTCGGCGCAGTTCAGGCGACCCAATGTTCGTCCAAAGGTCCTGACTGATGACTGTGACGGAGGCACCAGTGTCCACCAGGGCGGTGGTCGAGCGTCCATCCAAACACACGTGGATGATGGGTGCTTCCGCAGACGACACCGCCTCGGCCTTGGTTGCATTCGGCTTGGACAGGACAACATCCTGTCTTCCTGGTGCGGCTTCCAGAAACACATCCAGGTCTTCAGACTCAAATGGCCAGCCGTACTGGGCCTTGTCAACAGGGTTGACATCTCCCCGAGTCGCCAGGCCCGGTTCCATGGCTGCCGCGCTCCTGGAGGTGCGCCTCAGTTCGGCTCGTAGGAGCCGTAGACGTCGGATGCGTGCTGCCGATGTCTTCTCATATGGGCCCCGGTCTAGGCTGAGGTAGTTGTGCCTTACCCGAAGCGTCGGACGTCTCGTCCTCCAGAAGCTTGCCGGCGGCCGCATCGCTTCCAGGTCGACGATTGGGATCCTCGCCGTGGTGTCCAGGTCGAGGAAAGTGAAGGCGGCCACTCCAGGGAACGTGACCCGCTGTCGGTGCGGGGTCGACGTGTCGGCAGGACAGTTGGGTGCTTCCTCAGCATGTTGAATTCGATGCTTAACGCTAAGTGTGATGTCAACGGGCATTCTGTCCACTACAATTGATTCGTGTAATTCCTTCCAAAATCTGCGATTTACCATGAGAAAAAGAAACATCTCTGCTGTCAGTGGCAACAAGTGTTGGCGTAGAGGACTCCAAATAAGTTTCGCTGTCGAATAGTACCGTTCATTGACGTTGGAAGGCAGTGGGATATGAAGCAGCAGGTAGTCGTAGATTTCGTGTTGGTCGTCTAGTCGGGCTAGATTTGAACGTGGCTTCATATGCCACCTCGTCTTCATCGACTCCGAGTCCCATGCAGTGGCGCTCCGTGCGTTAATATACATTCGAGAAAATGAACTTCAACAGCACCACTTTGTCTTCGACGTTCAATTCGCGGGAGCATTACAACTTCACAACGGCATTTTCGATGGCCTTGGACTGAACAATCGTAGCATCTGAACTCAAGTAGCGGCTCCTTGCTGGAAAATATTTCACCATCTGGTCGAGTACGCTAATGTATTCTTCATCGACATGTCTTTCAGTTGAAGCAGTTTCGTTACCATGTACTTTTTTCGCATGTCTTCGAGAGCAATTCTCAACAAGGCAATGTCGCCGTTGTTCAGCTGAAGGCAAAAAATGGAAGGAGTTCGAAGTAGCGCTGAAGTATTTCTTAAGTTGATTACCAACGTGTCGTGTTTTGCAGTCTTGGTTGAATTACCTTTGATGCCGTGAGTCGACAAAGCATAATAGCATTGTTGAGCGTCGTCAATGTCACCATTAATTTTTGAACCTTCTGTACAGCTTGGTGGCAATGGGTCGTCATATGAGCTTTGGCAGCCAGATTAAGGCGATGATTGGCACAACCCACCAAAGGAACAGACACTTGATGCTGATGTTCGCTGCAGTCTTTGGTTACTCAAAGAATTGAGTAGGAGGTTGTCTTCAATCACCCAATCCGTCGCCTTGTATATTTCTTGGCTGC